AACACTTTCACTGCTCTAATTGAATAGTGTAATTTTATAGTCAACCTTACAATGTATCCACAGGCAAAACAATGTGAAGCTCTATTTTCATTTTTGGTAGTAACGAGGCGCAAGTCGCTGGTTCTCACATTCACAATCTGGCACGTTAATGAAGGGCCACGCTTCACTCTATATTTAAAAAAAAACTAAGCTTTCATGTATCTAGTTTAACGCCAAATATTAAAATACAAACAGTTTAACGATGAAAAAACCTAACCAAATGCTGTTAAACCTCACAAGAAAAGGGTAGATACGAAAGTAATAATGCCCTGAATGTCACGTTAACCATTATATGTATTTTTACCACCCAGGATAAACCATTTTCTCCTTGTTGTACCTAGGCTGGGTTCTCGATTTATTATTAACCAAATCCTCTTATTAAGAGAAAGATTCATATGATCAAGAAAACATTTAACTACATGTAACTAATCACCGTAAAAACTATAGTACGTTTTTGTTGTTTTCTTAAAAGTTTAACTTTAAGTTTGTAAACGAATATTTTTATTATTAAGGAATAACATACACAGTGAGGTTTCTAATACTTTGTGTAATGAGGTTACCGTGAATATGTAGCAAGAATTACAGCAATAATGGATTAAATAATATTAAAAGTAGAAAAACAAATGTGGAGTTCAATAGATTCCATAATTAAAATCGTATTATATTGATATTTATATTGAGTGAATAAAAAAGAAAATAATGAATTTAAAGAAAAAGAAGCCAGGTGCTTAGGGCACTCGACTCGCAATCAGAGAGTTGCGGGTTCGAATCCCCGTCCCACCAAACATGCTCGCCCTTTCAGCCGTGGGGGCGTTATAATGTAACGGTCAATCCCACTATTCGGTAGCAAAAGAGTAGCCCAAGAGTTGGCGGTGGGTGGTGATGACTAGCTGCTTTCCCTCTAGTCTTACACTGCTAAATTAGGGATAGCTAGCGCAGGTAGCCCTCGTGTAGCTTTGCGCGAAATTCAAAAAATAAACAAACAAACCATAATGTTTACCACATTATAATCTATACTATAAATTGGCTTGTCTCTGTGTGTTCGATGTCCGTGGCGAAGTTTGTCCAACTTCATGACCTCTTATTACCATGACATTTTCAGGGGATCTTGAGTATATCGCAGAGGGGTTTTAAAACAATTTACTTTATTCATTTTAGAATTTTAGGAGTTTGGTCGCCATTTCAATTTCTCCCCTTGTTACTTTCCCAGTGTTCACTTCCAGAATTCTGATTGTCATGAAACTTTCAGGGGTTCTTTGTTATGGTCCAGATATTCAGGAAACCTAGAAGTATATGTTATATAATATATTCAAAATAATTACATTAATATGAAGACACTGAGCAATAAAGTTTTTTTTCAAGAAAATGTTATGCCAGCATTCAGTAAATCTGCATCATGAATGATGTACACGCACGCCGTCAGCCATAACCGTGAAGCTAATGAAATGTATATCACGCGTGGTGTTGAGACTTCGCTAGAAAACATCATCACACGCAAAAATTGTGTAATTGTCTTAAATAGTAACTTTGTGGGTCTACAGAGGCTATCACTTGATTTGATATTTTAGGATATCCGTTTTAGGCACTGTACTAGAAACAAGACATTAAGTGCAAAGAATAAAATATTAACGAGAAAGTTTGTTATTCAAACTCTCGTGTCTCGAATGTCATTTCCCAGTATTGAGTTATTATACCACACAACCTGCGAGCCTTTAATTCAGAGTTACAGCAACTTTTGAGTAGCTTTAGAGACAGCTAACGCAGATAGCATTCGCATAGTTTTGTGTGAAATTTTGAAACAAACAAACAAATATTCTTCATGGATGTATAATATATAACGAAGTTAGCCTTTTCCGCCATGATGCTATACATAATATTATCAAGTTTCTAATGTAGTTCCATATAGCATGACAGGTACGTAGAAAGAATAGACCCTAGAATATGTTATCAAACAAATCAATGTGTAGGTCCATTTTAAATAAGGAAATCCGCCAGTTCAAATTTACTATCCATTTTCATTCCTAGATAAGAAATGTTATGTGAATTTCTTTAGTTTCCTTGAACTGGGCTTACTCATTTCATGTTTTTCTGATGTTTACAATTTTGATCTTAAGTTTAATCTAAATACCCGTATTCACTGTAAACCAGCTGGTTTGTTTGTTTCTTTCTTTCTTTTAGACCAAAGCCACATTAGGCTATATATATATACATACTTATTCTCATTCGTCGAGTATCATAATTCTGACGTACTTATTTTTATTCATTCACCATTTATAATTCTAATTGAAAAACTTATTCTTATTGATTGAATATTCATAATTTGTATAAATGTGTATAAATATATATCTCTATTGATTCGTGAACTGACTTAATGCAAGACAATATCAACGCCATATTTTGAAAGCAGTCATGATTTGATGTGGTGATTTTCTATCTTTTTATGTACACTCGTAATTCGTTGGTTTTCTGTATACTTTATTGTTTATTTGTTTTTTGTTTGTTTACAAGTGCACTGATCAGCTTGAGGCACATACCTTAATTATTAGGCATAAAATAATTCCACGTTACGATCATCAAATCGTGTAAGTTTATTAGCATTTCAATATGCTGCTTAAAGATTATGAATTAACTGGCATTGGAAGCACTGAGATTGAATACAAAAGTAATATATTTGTCTGTGTTTCCTATGTCGTCCTAAAACACTGATTGCATCCTGAAAAATAAAAAGTTTAATCGTTAATGATATGTTGTACTTCTTGATCGAAAATTATTTATTTAGAACAATCCAAATACGTAAACTTTCGTGTAAAATGGAGTATTTTAAAATTATGATAGAATGATATCAATATTCCTCTGCTTCAATAAATATCTCTTTGAACAGACCTATTAAGAGGTATTTTGAGTAATTATAAGATGATGTTCTCATCGAAAGATAACGTTAGGTATATAAAAAAAAATAAAAACTTTGAAATATCGCACTCGTTCTGTAGTATAATGTTCTATTGTTACAATGCCATTCATTGTAAAAACATAATAATTTTTATTATCTATTATAGTTTCACTCATATTTTAATATTTAATTACAATATTTGTATTTCCACTCACCTAAGGCTAAAGCTTTTAACCCTGTACTTGAAGCACACACTGTTTTATAATTTCATTAGCTTCCTCCTCCATTTCCTCCTGGAAATCGTTCGTTATTTTAAATATGAATTATCTCATAATCAGAAACGTATTAATTTATTAACTAATATTTCAGAGTATGTTACATTATGAGCATGAAATAATACTATATAGAATAAAACACATTTACCGTGATTTGAATTATATTTTTATAATGAAAGAGGACCTGGACTTCTAAAACCGTTTTTCTGAAGATGTTAAAGAACTTAGATGTAAAAGCGAGTATACATATAAAATTATAGATTAACTATAATAGCTAAAAAATTAAGTTATTAATTAATAACAGCACCACATAAATAACTTTTTTCTTACTCCTATTTTTATACAGTGACTGAATATAATATGAATCTTCAATTTTGTGATTCTAAATTCAAGTTACTTAAAACATAAAAACTGATACTTACAAATATAGGGCGAAAGCACGTGAGGAACTGTAAATAACAAAAAAAGAACAATAGTAATTTTCTTGTTTGAACTAACTTAGCACACTGTTAACATCCATAATATATTTTTATAGCTTGTACTTCTTATATGAATAATGCTTTAGATCAACTTTTATCTCTCACAGTCCATCCCAACTTTAGTTTTAGTATTAAACGAATAGTCTCTGGACAAGGGCCAGACAAAGGATGGATCTGAAATACCATTTTTACAAGATTCTGGTTTGAGATATGTAACATATTAATTAAAATGAATGTGAAACATTACCTGCAGTTTGATATGATATTTATTTTGATTATAAAGCTTAAGGTTTTACATCACTAATATGTATAATTAAAAGCATTATAAAACGCATTTTTAAGATTTTAATCCGGAAAATCATTAGTTATTTCACATAAAACGGTCCTCAGTGGAACAGCAATAATTTTACGGCCTTGCAACGCAAAAATCTAGGCTTCGATTCCCCGCAATGGACACAATAGATAGTATAATATGGCTTTGCTCTAAAAACAAACAACAAAAATTCACACAAAACAAAGTGCATCAAAACATGAAATTTGTGTGAACTTCCCGAAAAAAAAAAGGAAAACAGTCATGCTACAAACACATCATTTATCCATACAAAAAGCTTCTCAAAAGTTGCTGTAACTCTGAATTAAAGGCTCGCAGGTTGTGTGGTGTAATAACTAAATACTGGGAAGTGACATTCGAGACACGAGAGTTTGAATAACAAACTTTCTATTTAATATTTTATTCTTTGCACTTAATGTCTTGTTTCTAGTACAGTGCCTAAAACGGATATCCTAAAATATCAAATCAAGTGATAGCTTCTTTAGACCCAGAAAGCTACTATTTAAGACAATTACACAATTTTTGTATGTGATGATGTTTTCTAGCGAAGTCTCAACACCACACGTGATATACATTTCATTAGCTTCACGGTTATGGCTGACGGCGTGCGTGTACATCATTCATGATGCAAATCTACTGAATGCTGGCATAACATTTTCTTGAAAAAAACTTTACTGCTCAGTGTCTTCATATTAATGTAATTATTTTGAATATATTATATAACATATACTTCTAGGTTTCCTGAATATCTGGACCATAACAAAGAACCCCTGAAAGTTTCATGACAATCAGAATTCTGGAAGTGAACACTGGGAAAGTAACAAGGGGAGAAATGGAAATGGCTATCAAACTCCTAAAATTCTAAAATGAATAAAGTAAATTGTTTTGTAATTAAATTGAATTATAATGTGGTAAACATTACGGTGACATAAAGATTTCTACTTGTTCAATGGAATATCCTCTATCGAGTTCAACAGGTTTCAACAAATTATTTCGACAGGAATATTTCAAATGATTTTAAAATCACTGTCACTTTTAATGGTAAATTCTGACAGAAACGTCCAACAAGGATTGGCTACGTTTTTAAATACTGAATAATATTAATCTTCCCGCTGCGTTTGATTATTATTATTTACATGAAAATTTAAGTTTCTAAAATTGAAATATTGTACCTTAAAATATTTGTACATGTATCAGAAGTGTTAGTTTTTGTTTGTTTGTTTATGTTTTTGGCACCATTCAACTAGATATCGCATTTGTTAGTAATTTTAGAATCACTGTGAACGATAATTAATCTTTTCAAATAAAAATTCTGATTAAGCGTTGTCGACATATTTCAGTAACACCACAGCATTAATACTGTTATTGGTAATGATTCACATTATTAGAAGTGAACTTGAGAATAATCTAATGGATTTCTGAAACATATTAGCAGTATCACTGCGAAATTTCATCTCATTTTCTAATATAATAAAAGAGATTTAGTGTATCGCCAACTTAAATATTACACATATTATTTAAGCATATTGTCCCACGATGGGACAGCGGTAAATCTACAGACTTCCAATACGATTCCCGCGATGGACACAGTAGATAGTCTAACTTGGATTTGCTCTAAAACAAACTAATTAAACATGTTATTTATGTTACTTTGTTCATGAATTAGGTGTAGAATTAAAGTATGATGACAAAGGACATTAGTGTTATGGTTATACATATATATATACATACTGTAATATAATAAACTAGCAATTCACTGTTTCAACAAAAGGTTAGTCTATTAGGTTTGGCTGGGTATGTTATTCTTCACATTTTGAGCAGCTACAACATAAAGTGACAATAGAAATGATAGATTCAGATCTTTAAAATTTGTTTCAAATGTAACATTCTTCTCAAAACAAACACAAATACAAAATAAAAAAATTGTGAACAAAAATTTGATCATTGAAAAAACACTTCTGAAAGGACAAGGAGTTAGCCTTAAAATACGAGTACAAGTGTTAACTGTTGTTGATTATAAATCAAAATATGTTTAAAAGTACCAAACATAGGAATTTACCATTATTCCAGTCTCTTCGTTTTCACATATTTTCAATATTATATCAACATCTGTCGAACCAGGCATGATTTCATCTCTGCATTTATCAGATTCTCTAATAACCTAGGATGGCAAGACAATAATGATTTTTAGACATTTAAAAACAATTTCAATTACTTGAATAATACTAACTGGTTTGTTAGTCTGAATTCTAGAACTACGTCATGTACTGAAAGCCATTTCATGGCTTTGTTGTAGTTTTGAGATATAAGTGATTAATTGTATTTGACAAACTGATAACAACATTCCAACTTTATTCTATTCTGATGTAAACTTTATTATGGGAAGCTTGTTATCATATAAGAAATATATAATATGTCATAACAACTGGTGTCTATACTTGTTGTGTTTTATTTATTTTAAAGTAATGAGGTTTGGTAGAACAGAACTTCAATTAGCTGTATAATAAGTGTTTTTAAAACCCGATTAATATCTTTAATTGCATAATAACTTCATTTAAAAACTATCAGTTCTAGTGAGCTGTGTAAGGAGTGTTCTAAAGAACTGAACAAGAATACTACAGTTTAAATACAAATTATTAACTATTACCATTTGATTTTTACGTTTCCAGTGAATAAATCGTTATGGGTAGAACGAAGGATTCACTCTTTCTAAGTTTTCATTTTTTTCTAATAATATGTTACAGTTTACCCGCAGAAACCATCGTATGACATGTGATTACTAATCTGACGAAGAAAGAAGACTACCAATTAAGACATGCACTACTTAAACAAAATGATTGCCCATTAATTAATGTACTTACCCAGACTTCTTTAGAAAGATGGCTTTCCATTAAATGATGTACTTACTCAGACTGAGACCTTCTCTAGAAAAATGGCTTCTCATTAAATGGTGTACTTACCGAGATTGAGGCTTTCTCTAGAAAGATGGTTTCTTATTAAATGAAGCACTTACCCAGACTGGAAACTTCTTTTTTGTGCATGCAACGTACTCTTCTATCTGATCAATGTTAAAACCTGAAATAGAAACTCTCAATTAATATGTATATTAACGTTGACTGTTTTAAAAATTCAATTGAAAAATATATTGCGCAGTGAAACTCAAAATTAAAATTTTGTAAATTAATCAAGCGAAATAAACTATTATAGATAGCCTAACTTTTGATCATTGAGTGCTTCCTTTATTTAAATATAATTTTTAAGGAAATAGAAATTTTAAAGAAATTGTGACATCAATCAAAATTGTAACTAGCAACAATTTTCGATATATATATAACTAGCTGACTAAACCATTCAATGCACTTCGAAGATATAGTATCCCCCAGGGTAAAATGGAGGATCAGATGTGAACGCCGACCTATATATATATCATGTCATTCCTTGGGGTCTTTAAGGGTACTTGTCAGATTTGGTGACAGTCGGTCCAGTTGTTCACCAATTATAAGCAAACACACAAAGTCCTTTCTCAAATAATGATTTAGATCGATAAATTACCCGTGAAAAGTACAAAATTTGTTTGAACAACCATATACACGTTCTTTTTAGTTTTCAGATAAATTCATGAAGTCAATCCTGAAAGCCTCCACTTGCAAAATTTAAAGTCATTTTGACAAAATGACTTAGAGGAGTATACAACAATCAAGTAAATATAGCTACAATTGATAACTGTATACATTAATAGGTTGCATCTAGAAAGAGATATATTTTTATCTGTAATGTATTATTAGACTGAGAAAACATTTTAAAATACTGCCCTTTATCCACACTTTTGCATTTATATATAGCATATTAAAGATGGAATTGTGTATAACATGAAAAAATGCATTTAATGTTAGCCCAGTAATCTCGATTAGTTACAAGTTGATAGAAATATAAATTGTTATAGTATGTACGCCATTTACAAGTCAGCAAAGAATGATTACAATTATACTTATCAAAAGGCAATAGTATTAGGTATATTACCTGTTTAAACAATATATCCTTAATCTAGTCTTTTAGGGATTTTCAAGAGTTAGAAGCGGGTATAATAATAGTATTCCAACTAAACTATATTTATAATATGCATTGTCGACGACGCATTTCGCTCAATCCAGAGTTCTTCAGGCCGGCTATGATACAACAAACACAGCAGTGGTCGGAACACTATTTATATAAGCAATTTGACACAACAGCAATTGTCATGATATGTACGCCTTTTACAAGCCGGCGAAGAATGATTCCAATTATATTTGTCATAAAACAAATGACAAATATCTTATGAAATATATAATTGTAATAGCAATATAGCTTAACATAGAAAATCCAATATAGAAATATAAAAGGAAGAAAATAGGTAGTGTGTAGTATAGATACTGGAAGCGTTCCTAACTTTCTATTAGCAAGTGTTTTATAAAACAGAAAACGTATAGTTACCACAGAGCCCCGGCGGAGGAGTTTGACATGATACTGCCTCACTGAGACAGACAACCAAGAGGATACTAAAAAAAACTTTCATTTTAACAAGTCTGTTGTCTGAACGAATAAAAAATAATATTTTTATGTCCTCTAGTTCCTTATATAACAACAGAAGGAGACGATAACGAAGGTTTTTTGCTCTTCTTGAAAAGATAATCTCAGACATAACGTTGGGAAAACTGTTTGGTTGTTCGTCATTAATTCCTGGGTAAAGAGCCAGATGTGTTGAAAACAGAAACTGCATTTATATCAATGACAATTGGTTTTTGTAATTCTAACTAATGGTTTGGACTAGATGTTAAGCAATACCATAAGTTATTTACTACAATATCTCGCAAAATACTGATATGACTGGATCCCAGCTGATCATGTTCGCACGAAATAAAGATTTAGAACTGCCTTGAAATATGTGCGTTCTTAAACATCAACTTCCTTTGGTAACTCAATATCAGCACAAAAGTTACTAATCATGCATTTGTAATCGCATAAAATGTTAACATATAAGAATTACTCGAACATAACAGTATGAAAGCAGAAACAGAAATGGGCAAATATTATATACAAGTGGAAATATCATAACTGAGAAAACAACGCAAAAAATAGAACCATAAAATCTTAGCTAGCAGAAACGTAAAAAGGAATACTACTTCTTAATAGTTCTTTTTTATTACAGAAACTGTTTATACGTAAAAACAATTTCATTTTTCATACATAATAAAGGCATTTTCAAATTATTAATTGCATATTTTTTCATAAAGAAAGCATATTTTCAATTATAACAATTCAATTTCATATTTTTTCATAAAGAAAGCATATTTTCAATTATAACAATTCAATTTCATTTGTAAATCATTTTTGTTTGAAAATATTTTGTTAATATGGTATTTTTTCATGAATTTTTTATAATAGTTCTTTTTGATTTCATAAAATCGTCAGCAATGAGAATATTTTAGTATTCAAACTTATGTGAATCGGCTTCTTTCAAACAAAGCTGGAAGTAAGAAAACAACTCCGATCGCCTCAACAACCATACCAAGTGCTTTCTCGTACTTCTGTCCGCATAGACAACATGAAATTATTGTGAAAGCATAGTTCATATTTTCATAATTAATGAAAATTTTACCGAACAAACACAAGAGCCCGGACAAGCCGTTTAATGAACTCGATCGCTTTCAAAACAGCATCAAATACTTTATATTGTTTCTGTCCGCATGAGCCATAAAAACAACTCCGATCGACTTAAAAATGATATCAAACTATTACTCTTTATCTATAGCTAAAATGGTAACTAATACAGTCGTTATATCAAATTTAATTTGTTTCTTATAAATAAAAATGTTTGCGGATGAACACAAAGCGTCCTGAAGATCACAAAAGGCGTCAGTTTGATTGGACTGTAGATACACGAGCAATATGATTTGACGAAAGTGTTTATTTGTCCATTGCATAACAATTTGATACTTTCGATGAAACAGTCGAGTTCTACGCTGTTCAGAATTGAAACGCTACATCGAATACGCTGCATTCTGAAACTTTGCATGGATTTCTGAACGTGTTACTGTAACTACAAACATAAAACTTAAGGAAATTATTAGTTCAATTACGTGTTCAATTAAGCATTTGAGACAGCGGGGCCTACAACATTCAAACTTCTGTTATCTACTTTTATTTTCCCAGCTATTTTAATCAGTTTTCTTAAATATTTTCGTTACTTTGTTCTGTAATTCATTTACATGCGACCGTTTGCTCTACTTTCATTGATTTTTATCATGTGGTTTTCCTTTCACTTGCTAGTGTATTGATGCTCTACTCCACCATTGATTCTGTCACCACTAACAACTTAGTGGTAGCACTTTGAAGGTAAATTTGGAATAAATACATTGTAAATACGTCGCAGTAACACGTCAGTGTGTCAAACACAGCGCCAGTATTTCATACATCAACAATAAAAAGTATATATTTTGTAGTAACACACTTCAAAATGTGGTATTCAAAACTTCCTCAACCCTATCATGCGTTATTGGTAGAGTTCTTCGTTTTAAGTTTTTATTTTTCTTTAAATTTTCTGAGGTTTTGTCAGGGGTTATTTTTTTTCATTTCGCAAGACGGGAGAAAAGTGGTAAACACACAACAGAAGACCAATATCTCTGCAAAAATCGGTAATTATATTAAATTCAATAAACACGTAATGTATTATAACATCAATTGTCCAATAAATCTTAACATAAGAAGTCACTTCAAAGTCAAAAATGCCTCCCAGTGGCACAGCGGTATGTCTGCTAAAAACCGGGTTTCGATACCCATGGTGGGCAGAGCACAGATAGCCCTTGTGTAGCTTTGTGCATAACAAAAAACAAACAACCAAAACAATCAAAGTCAAAACTCGGTAACAGCTCTTTTCTCTCGAAAATGTCCAATATTTTTTTGAAGTTAGAAGCATATACCTCAGCCATTTTCAGTTTGCGACCAATTGCTCATCTAATTTTTACCTTTTGTCTCCAAAGACTATTTGATGATTTTGCAACTATAGTACAAACCAAAAGGATGATGTAATGTACGAAAAATCCTGTTACCTTTAGCAAAGCTGTTTAATAAAAAAGCTAGTAACTAAGCAAAGAAGACTGACATAGTGATGAAAAAAAAACGGAAGAACTAAGTAAAAGCCGGTAAGAAAACGAGTTGCAAGAGTGGTAATTTATCAGTGGAAACCAATAATAACTGAAAACAAAGAGCTCTCGTTATTACCTATAAAATGTATAAATATCATTCTATCATATCTAGATACAAAGGATAGTAGGACAAAATGCAGTTTAATACTATTAATTTCGGGATGATAATATTCACAAAAAATGTGAATATTGTGAAAAATTTTTCTGTAAAATGATAATAATATTACACTGACCAAAACTTATCACTAAGAAACAATAAACACAGTGATCTATAAAACAGTAAAATTAACAATTTTATCAAGGACAATTATAGATATTGCAATCCTAAGCATCAACATAACATTAAATACATATATATAAATAATATATTTAAGTGAAATTAGTGGGACATAATTGTGTTAAATACAGTAACTAAACAACAAGAATACAACTTCCTCGGGTACACAGAGTCTCATGAAATGAAATACATCAAAGTAGCATTAATCAATCACAAGAAACAATCTTTAAAAAGCCTCTAAAAAGCGTACAACAAATAAAATAAAGTGGCACTGATATAACACCAAACGAGGCTAAAGCATTTTACATGCATTTACGACAAATGTATCTTTCTCTAGTGATTTTTTAGGATACATTAAAGGTGGTATCCGTCTTCACATTTAATTCACACAGGACCATCTTACATTGTTTTGTTTTTTTACACTTCTCACCTAATACCCATAGACCACGTTGATGCAAAGTACTCTGAAATTTACATTGACAAGGAAAGATGTTGTTGATTTTTACGAGGCTATCTAAAAACCTATAAATTTTGAACAGGCTTCGGTGCTTTATGGATCTTCTTTTTTTTATCCAGCTTTGGAAAACTTGTGTCTGAATGAGCCTTTCTTTTATTCTATAATTCTTCAGCTATCCATATTATGATAGCTGTCATGTCTTCTGTAAATGGTACAACAGATCCGCTACACAGTACATGTGCATAGAGACAGACATAAATACCACAGCTGTGAGAATCCCTTTGAGCTGGAATATCCAGTGGTGCGTGAACCTTCTAACCAGTCCAATCAATTGATGTCTTCCAGCTCTTTTGATAGTGATAGGCAACGAAACCTTAAATTCTGTGAATTACTGTTTCGGCATATCCATGCATTGAATCCAAGTATAGAATCAATTTCCATTTCACGAATACAACAGTCAGAATCCAATTGTTGCCATGTGCTTGACTTGGAAAAATCCAGAAATTTTCTTCATTACATTCACATTTTTTCCATGGATTTCCAAATTAAATCTACAAACACATTCAATGGATTTCATTAGATGGGTGGAAAATACACAGATGTCTACGTCACTTTCTGTGAAATTCATCATTAATGTTCTTGTCAGGAGAAATCCATCAATTAACCGCCCATTGCTCAATAAAGAATGTGTATCTGCTACATTGGTGGCAATGTTCTTCACTATCACATCTTTGAACTCTGGATATCCAGTTTGGATTTTCCAAGTTACTATCTCTTCTCTGAATGTTTTTGGCATACTAGTAAGAATAGGTTCTTCAAAACAATGAATTTTCTGTTCTCTTATCCCTTGCAACAAAGCTGTCCCCCTGTGTTTCATCCTGCTTCTCTATTGAGTCTGGAGTAGCTGTTGTTTTCAGTGTGACATTATTACATGGCCTCTTTCTTCCTGACTTAAACTTCGGGGCGTTGGTTTTCCGTTTTTTTTTCAAGTTGTACACTTTCTTTTGTTCCCGCTTCACACCAATTAACAATCTAACGGCAAAAATATGGTAGCATGTCTTGGTGCTGTTACACGAACATGTTTTTTATAAGGAAAAAAAATTGATAACATATTCCTTACCTCTGAGCCCTTTAACAATAAAAGTGCCCGTTTGTTCGTTCAGAAATACGAGATTTTATATTAGAAGCATCTATGCTAACCAATGGAACGTTTTCAGCCTGCGATGTTTTATTTCTGGCTCATCCTCCTAGCAGCTCGGTTTCCACTTGCCTTCTTGCAAGATTGAAATAATGCCCTTTGGTGCAACATAGTCTTGGAGAAAATCAGTCTCTGTAGGATCCATTTCTATACTGGAATGCTCGTTTCGGAGGAGGTAGTTTCCAATTCTTCTTAAAACTTCCCTGTGATAATAATGAAACTGGAGCGAAAATAGAATACAGCAATAAAATTGATGTAGAAAATTACGTTCATCAAAGCTCTCCTCGTCATCACCTTCGTCTTTTTACTTGTGTCCCTTTACACCCGAAATTCAATCTCAGCCAAAGTCAAGATTACCCATCTTACCTCCAGTATTTTAAGCTACAAAATCTAGAATATGAATTACAACTTATACCATTCAAGGGCGGACAGAGAGACTCTAGTCCCTCAAAATTCAGGTATAAGTGAAAACTTCATGCTAGTAACTCACCGCAAACTCTTGGGCTATCTATCCTTTTGTTAAGGAACGTTGGGATTTACGTCACATTCCCCCATTTTCGAAAAGGACAGCATGTTATAAAGAAATATAACAATTATTTAAGATGTTTTGCTTAAAAAGTAAATTACACTCCTAATAAGAAATGAA